GGGACGTGCAGCGGGGGGCAGTGCTCCGACAGGTAGTTCTGCTTTTCCGTCTCACGGACGCTCTTCTCCTTCTCCAGCTCCGTGGCCGCAATCTGGAGCATGACGCTCTGTGGGGTGTGGGGGGCAGGCGGTGAGGGGCGGTGGGCCTGGCCGCAGAGACCCTGGCGGCCCTCCCCGAGGCGGCACCTACCTTCAGGTGCAGTCTCCGGGCCGTGATGGCCCTGTTGCGCTTCTGCGGGACAGAGGGCAGGAGGCAGAGTCAGGGCCGGCCCAGGGCCACATCCCTTCCATGCTCCCTGGCCGGGCCAGGGGGTCCTGCCCAGAGGGTAGCTGAGCCTGGGGGGCTCCTGAGGCCCTGGGTGGGGCCGGGCCTGGGACACGGTGCTGTGGGGTGACTCTTTGCCCAGGTGGCACGTCAGGCTCGAAGACTGCACCTCAAAGGCAGTGTGTGGGGGTTCCTTGCAGGGCCCGGGGGCTGGGGGTGCAGAAGTCAGAAAGAAGAAGCAACTGTCCTAGTGACCCGGCCGCAGCATCGCTTCCCCTGCCCTGTGAGGCGCCGGCACCCACTTCCTCTGTTTCGTCAGCGTCTCAGTGGGTGGATGGGGTGTGGCACTTTCGGTGGGGGGATGGCTGGGGCGTCTTCCCCGGGCCTCAGGGCCTTGAAGCTCTGACTTCTGACCTCTCCCGGGGTGGGGGTCCCAGCTCCTCCATGTTTCCCCCCCAGCAGGTACTTACCTCCTCACTGTCCCAGGAGTGTGGCGGGGGTTGGGGGAGAGAAGAGAGAGGTTAGAGCCATGCATGGGGGCCTGGGGATGGGGTGGTGGGCATGGAGGTGACCAGGGCAGCAGGGCCTCTGCTGAGGAGAAGCAGAGACCCCCGCCCTGGGAGGGGGAGGGCGGGGCGGCAGGGGCACGAGCTTGGGGGCTGCACTTACTCCCCCATCCTGAGTCCTGGGCTTAGAGCCTGTGGGAGAGAAAGGCAAGGAGCGTCAGGACCACGGCCCCATCCAGCGTGGATGCCTGCTGCCTATTGGGGGGCAGCTCCTCACGCTCACCCGGCCCCCTGCCGCCCCCCCAGCTCCCACCTCCTTGGAGGGCGATGTCTTGGGATTCCCTGGGGTGAAAAGTAAGAGGAGAAAGTGTTCCCAAAATGTCCCAGGCAGGGCCTGGAGCTGCTGCAGCTGTCCCCATGGGAGGGGCGGGCAGGCCAGCACAGGTGGCCGCCCAAGACACCCGGTTATTTTTAGTTCTGCTCCTTCGGCTTCGGGCCCAAGTGCGTGTAAGAAACTGCTCTCCAGTTCGGCCTGGGGTCCCTCGACCCATAAAACCCTCTTCCAGGGTCCCAGACGTGAGGCCTGGCCCTGAGGGTCTGCCCAGGACCCCTGCCCTACCCCAGCCCTCCTCCCGATGCGTCTCCCAGTCGCTCCCAGCTCCGTGGAGGCCTCCCAGGGAGGGCTGGTGGCCGCGGCACCCAGCCCCCAGATCCCGCCCTGGGAAGTCCTCCTGTAAGCTAGCTCAGCCTTGTCTGGCCTGGCCGGGCCGGCCTCACCTAGCGTCTGGGCAGCAGTGCTGGGAGCGAGGTCAGGCAGGCAGCAGCGAGTTGGGCTGGTGGGCCCAGGGGGAGGGGTATAAATGGCCTCCCCCAGCCTGGGCCCCATCTCAGAAAGGGCATGGAGCCCTCCTCAGACCAATGGGGGCACAGGCACCTCCCCACCTGCCCAGGCCGCCTGGCCCAGCCCAGCCGCATGCTGCTGTCCAGGCCAAGAAGTCTTGGGGGGGGCGGTGGCGAGGTTGTGTTGCTCTATTTAGGGCTCAGTGACGAGTTCAAGAAGCCTCCCTTGTTCCTGCAAGGAGCCCGAGGACAGCCGGGCACAGCCTCGTGGGCCACGTTGGGGCACACGGCTCTGGGGTCAGCCCCATCAGGCCCTAAGTCAGGGTCCACACTGCAGTTCGCCCCTCGGCTTCCCTGTGGGGCCCTCGGGTTCCCCGGGCCTCTCACTGCAGCTCAGTGCAGCCCCAGGCGGGCATCTCAGGCACGAGCTGGTCAGTCCCTCCCCTTCTCCGAGCCGGCTCCGGGCAAGGCCTGGACTCCCAAACATGGCCTCCGGGCCTGCGGCAGAGGCCAGAGGTCTCTGGGGTGGGGGTTGCCTTCCCCTGGGCACGATCCGCCTTCCTGCCTAGGAACAGGAGGTGAGGGGCGCCCTGGACGGTCAGCCCTGCCCGGGACACCCTGCGAGGGCCAGTTTCCTGCGCAACACAGAACACGTCCTTCAACCTGAGGATGGCAGCGCCACCGGCCAGGAACTTCTCCCTGAACCCAGGGGGCTTGGGGCCTGCCTGGCTGCCCGGGAAGGCCCGACACTGCCCTTCTCACCCTGGCCAGGGCCTGAGCCCCCCGCCCGGGCCCCCTCCCAGCAGAGACATCCAGAGGACCATGACTTGGCATCCTCTGAGCTGGGGGTGCGCGGCCCCAGCTCTGCCGGCTCCACAGGCCGTGGGGAGGGTCAGGGAGCGCTAAAGCCCTCCAGATGTGCTAGGATTAGAGCTGCTTTCCGGCCAGGCCTGAGCCCCCAATGGCCCAGGGCGGCTTCCGAAGGTGTCTGCTGCCCCCTGCTGCTCGCTCAGGGGAGGCCCCGCAGCCGCCATCCTGAAGGTTTTGGGGCTCTGCGGGGGGCTGGGGCGGCTCCTGGGTTTGGGGTCCCCTCCCCCGACTGTCACCACCCCTCAAATGCCTCCAGCCCACCTCCCCCCACGACATCCATGACTCTCCAGCCCCACAGACCAGGAGGTCTCCCCCCCTCTCCCTATCATCACTGTTGGGCCTGGAGGGGGCCCCTGCACGCTACCCAGCATCAGGCATCTGTCAGAGGCCTCAGGGCCTGGCAGAGTCTGGAGAAAAGACCCTCTCCCCCACCTTGGGAGGGGGCCGTAGTGATGAAGGCCAAGCCCCCGGCCCTACTGTGTCCCGGTGGGGCTCAGGAAGGACACACAGCTGTGGCGGGAGAAGGCTTTATTACAGTGGGGCTTCAGGGAGACCTGGACGGGTGCCCACAGCTCAGCTGGGGAGACTGGGCCCGGGGGCCTTTCAGGAGCCAGGCAAGGGCAGACGTAGGCGGGGCTGTAGGTCCAGGGTCCGGTCCACCTCCCTTGCTGGCCGCAGGTGATGCCACTGGGCAATGGGCCGCCGCGGGTGGGCCAGCATGTCCGCCCAGTGCTGCAGGGGCTGACCAGAGGCCCGGGTGCCCAGCAGCACCTTGCCCATGGGCTCGGCCCGGAACTGCGGGCCCCGGGCCCAGACGGCCAGCACCAGATCCACGCTCTGGGCAGAGACAGGCAGAGGTGCAGTGCGGGGAGAGAAAGACAGGGGTCAGTTTGGCCCCCAGTGAGGTCCCGCCTGCCCCTTCCTCCAGGCGGCCCACCTGGACCTGGCTGAAGTGCACAAGGAAGGTGAAGGCCTCGTTGAAGTAGGGGGTGGCTGTGCCCTTCCTGGCGTGGGTCTTCCTCTTCTTCCTCTTTCTCTGGTTCAGCATGAGCTGGACCTTCACGTATGGCTCTGGGCAGGCGAGAGGGGTCGAGGGCGTCCCAGGGCTGAGGGCCGAGCACAGGGCTCCCCCTGACCCCGTGGAGGGGCAGGGATGGCTCTCACCTGCCAGCGCCGGGCACAGACCTCGGGCCTCCAGCACGACCACGGTCAGCCGGCCCGAGCTGGGCACGTACCGCAAGGAGAAGCACAGCTCCCCCGTCTGCTCAGGCTGTGGGCAGCGAGAGGGGTCTTTAGCCGGGCCTCTCGGGCCTCAGTCTCCCTGCCGGCACACCGGGCAGGGCCAGGCTGCAGCCTGGCGGGCAGCGGCCTCACCTCGGCGGCGCCCGGCGGGCCCAGCTGGTGCCACAGTTCCAGGACATGCTGCAGGTCGACAGCGCCCAGCGGCAGGCTGAGCGCGCCCAGCGGCTCGTGCCGGGAGAAGCGCTTGAAGTCCAGCAGCCGCACCTGCAGGCTGGTCCGCGACAGCTCCGCCTGCGGGACCTGAGGGCGGGGTGGGGGGGGGGGGGGGTGTGAGCGCCCCCTGCGGCCCGCCCGGGCCCACCCCGGCTCCTCTCCGACTCACGCGGAAGCAGCAGATCTCGTCGAACACTGGGCAGAGTGTTCCGCGGTGCACCTTCGTCTCGTGCGCGTGCCCGGCCTGGGTGGAGAGGCTGACACGGGCGTAGGGGTCCGCAGTGCCGCCCGGGGCCCCCGGCCCTCAGGTCCGCCACTTGCCTGAGGCCCACCCTGATCTGGGAGCCAGGGGCAGCTCAGCCACGGGCCCACTCTGGTCGGTCTGGCACCACCCAGCACCTGGCGTCCACCCCTCTCTCACCCCCCCTCCATAAACACGCAGACCCCCGGCACCTGGCGTGCGCCCTTCACCAACCTCCCCTCCATAAACCCGCAGACCCCCGGCACCCTGCCCGCACCCTTCACCCATCACCCCTCCATAAACCCACAGACCACCTGGGCCCACAGAGTGGGGCCCTCACCTCCTGGCTTCCAAAGTCGTACTGCAGGGAGAGCAGCAGGCGCCCCCAAGGCTGGGGCTCCCCCTTGTTATCTACATCTGGCTGCACCTAGGGTGGGTAGAGACGGGATGACTGGTGCTTCTGGGACCTTGTCCCCGTCGCAGCCCCGGGCCTCCTAGGCAGCAGTTCCACAACTCGGGTCAAACCGCACCACCCACCTCCAATTCAGGCACTGGAAGGACTCACACCCTCAGCTCAGCTTTATGAGACCAGCCAGAACTGGTGGGTCTGCCCCAAATCCATCTCACACCACTGCCTTCCTCAAGAACCTGCTGTGGCTCCCCATGACCCATGGACCAACCCCTGAGGCTGCCACTCAAGGCTCTTAGAGCCCTGGGCCTGCCTGCATCTTTTGCCCTTCACCTTTGCTCATCGCCTCCCCTGCCAGGAAGGCCCTCCCTGCCTCTGCCCGGGGCAGATCAGACCATCCCTGGAGGCTGAGTTTGCCCCCGGCCATCCTGGGCCGTCCTGAGCCCCTGAGCCTGGACCTTGAGCTGCCCTCTGGGACTGACCCAGCTGGGAACTGGGCCCTGGGGAGCGCTGGTGCCTGCTCCTCACCAGATGGGTGGTGGTGGTGCCTCGGGGACTCCCCAGGCCTACAGCCTCCTTGTCTCTGGGCTTCTTCCCATGGTGGCGGCAGCGGCGGCAGCAGCAGATGGCCCAGAGGAGGCAGGAAACAATGAGGATGCCAGCAACAACAGCCACAGCGATGGGGGCCCAGCGGAGCCCTGGGGGGGGGGCGCAGAGATAGGCCAAGACCATCTGTGGACAGCCCCACCCGCTGGCCCACCGCCACACCCCTCCCCGGGGTCCCACGACTCACAGGGGATCCCAGCGACGATGTCCGGAGTAAGTGCGGGTCCCGCTGTGGCGCTCACCGGGGCTGGGGTACTGTGCGGGTCTGGGGGATGCCCCATCTCCCTGCCCTGCTGGCTTGGAAGAGACGGCCCAGGCGGCTGGGTCACCTGTGAGGACGGCACCAAGGGCCCCTGCCCGCCACCCCAACTGCCCAGCAGCAGCCAGCTCTGGGTCTGCCTGGGCCAGGAGGGGGCCTGGGGTGGCCAGGGGCAAGGGTTCTGAGAGGAGCAAAGGGGAAGGATGCTCTGGGCCTTGGCCAAAGTGAGGGCTTAGTTGCCACAGGCGCAGCCTCATGGCTACCTCCTCCAGCCCCCAGCCCCAGCCAAGCAGGCCAGGCCTGGGCCACCCGGGCCCTGCCCTCACTGGTCCTTGTCGCAGAGCCCTCCCTATCCTCACTGCAGAGCTGCCTCCTCCAGGAAGCCCCCCCACCCCGCCAGGGCCCTGGGCCCTGCCTGGGGGTCATTGCTGGGGTCCCATCTCATCCCTGCCCCTGACCTCGGGCCCACCGTGGTTTGCCAGTCACGTGGGTGGAGCATATTCACACATGTGGGCTTCCAGCCCGGGAGCGACCTGGGAGCATGGGAATGGGGGCTCTGCCAGAGTCATGGGGGGAGCAGGTGGGGTGAGGGGCAGGAGGTGGGGGAGCTCGTCTAAGCAAGCCAGGGCTAAAGGTGTGTTCCTGGCACGGGCTTGCAGCCAGCAGCGCCTGGGGAGGGTGGGGGGGTCAGCAGGGGAGGGTGTAGCTGGGAGCGGCCAGAACATTCCTCACAAACTGACTCAGCAGCCTGCCCGCCCGCCCAGACTTGCTATCTGGGTGCGTGGGTGGGCAGAGGGCGGGGCTGGCACAGCCTACCTGCCTGGGGCTGGGAGGAAGCACACCTGGTGGGGCTGGATCCTCCCACCCACGACAGGGACCCAGCAGGGGGCTGGGTGCCACAATGGGGCGTGCTGTGACCCCAGGCCCACACACCACTCTGGCTCAGCTCTTCCTTAGCCACCTCCTCCGGGAGTGGTGGCCACCGAAAGTCACAGTTCCTCCAGCCTGGGGCCTGCCCTCTTTGAACACAAGAGCCTGCCATTCCTCTTGCCTTAGGGTCTCAGCCCAGGCCACCCACTCCGGGAATAGCCAGGCACCCAGGCCGGATCTCCTCACCGCTGTACCCCCTGCCCAGCCTGGTGCCGAGCATGGGGAAGGACAGACGGGACCCCACTGTGATTCCGGGGTTGACCCCCCAGCCACATGGCATCAATGCCCCACTCCCCAGTGGGCCGAGCAGGGGCAGCTCCGCTCCCAGAACTGACCCAACCCCCCAATGTTCAGAGGAGGGAGTAGCAGCCCAGAGGGGAGGGTGGGCCCAGGGCCCCCCAGCAGCCCTGCAGACCAGGCCCCAGGGGTCCTGCCTCCTAGGCCCAGTCTGTCCCCCCCTGGGGGGACTTTGCACACATTGTCCCTGCAAGGTCTTTTACAGACAAGTAGACTGAGGCTCAGGCTTGGAGCGGCACAGAGGGCCAGGCCTGGGGAGTTCTAGCACGATGAAGGGGTGCAGAGGCAGCCTGTGCACTGGGCCCCACACTCAGAGAGAAGGACCCCCCTTGGTGTAATGCCTGCCGTTGCTGTCTTGAAATTCGCACCAGTTTTGAACAAGAGGCTGCACGTTTTCCTTCTGCATGGGCCCCACAAATGATGGATCCGGTCCTGGTTGGAGGGCCCCGTGTGTGAGGCTCTGCGATGGAGCACACGGTGCCCCCGGGAAGCTCACAGGCCGCTGCCACCCTCTGTCCACCACCTGCCCTCCTGCCTCCACGTGCCCCTCCAAAGGACATTCCCAGGTCTGTACAGCACCCCCCGTGCGGCTGGTAGAGCACCCCCCGGAGCCGCTGTTGCCTGGGCTGGCCCAAGAGCTGCTGAGGGTCCCGCAGGGTCCCTGGAGCAGCGCAAGACCAGGTTCAAAGACGCCCCGATTCCGCGCATGGAACCTGAAGTCGACCTTTACTTTTTGAAATGTCGGAGCCTGTGTGTTTTCTGGAATTAAAATAGCATCATTTGTGATTTTCATGGTTGAGAATTTGAGTTAAGTTGTCAGCACAGGATCTCCATCTGCGTGTGTGCGTGCGTGTGCGCGTGCATGTGCATGTGTACACACCTGTATGTGCTTGCAGGTGCATGTGTGTGCATACGTGTGTGTGCGTGTGAGTGCATGTGGCTCTCCCCGTGCCCCTGCTCTGCCGGCGTTCTCCCCTCGGTTAGGGTGGGGGTGGGGGCAGGCACTAAGTCACCGGGACTTGGTGCTGCTGGCCCAGCAGGATTCCTGGCCAGCCCGGTGAAGGTTGTCCCCCCAGGACCACGGCGGGTGCCTGGAGGCTGGCCGGAGATGATCCCGGGACTCTGAGGATACCGGCCACAAGCCCTGGTCCCAGTGGTGGTGAAGGGTCAGGCAGGCTCATGGCCACCAGGTGGCGCCATGCGCTCCACCCACCCCGCCAGCCTGCAGCGGTCCTGCCTCCAGGCCTGGGGCTTCTGGGAAAAGTGGCAGAAGCTTCAGGCAGGTGAGCCCCCAGCCCTGGGAGGATGCCTGCTTCCCCCTCTCGTGCACCAGTGCCTCTCACAGCCCTCCTTCCTGCCCGCACCTCAGAAGGCAGGAAGTCCTTCCTGTGGTCTAGCTCTGGGTGTCTATGTCCTGTGGCCAGGCTGGGGGAACCCTCTCTAGGTGCTAAGGCATCTTTCCCAGGAAAGAGAGACAGCATCCTTCCTAAATCCAGCCCCGCACCACAGCCACGCCCCCTGGCTCCCTCCCGGCCACTCTGCAGACCAGCTCTGCTCTCCTCCCCACCTCCTGGCACAGGTGGTCATTCCTGCCACTGCCAAGCTTTGCTCCCACTGCTCTGTACCTAAACTGCCACCCCTTCCTATCCCCATCTCACACCGCCTTCAAGGCCTGTGTGAGCACCCCCTCCTCCAGGAAGCCCTCTCGGTCACTCCTGGCCCTCAGACCTGCCTTGCAGATGAGGCTGGATTCTGCCCTGTGTCCTCCCCAGTCAGGGATCCCAGCTCCCCCAGCCTAGTGGCTCCCCTGTCAGCCTGGGGCTGGGCGCATGAAAGCCATGCTAACTAACCCCTCCACCTTCCGTCTAACTGGGATTTCTCGTGCTTCAGTGGGAGCAGGTTTCTGGGAAAAGAGGAGCCCCCAGATGTTGAGGGTGGCAGCCCCCAGAGGCAGCGAGCTCTCACCTGATGCCTGCACTTCCTGTGGCCAGCCCAGCCTCCAGGCCTCCCTCTCGGACCCAGGCATCCGCGGACAGTGCTCAGAGCCCGCGGCTGGAGCCAGCGTTGGCTCGGCCTCCAGTGACTGAGAAATTCTTCTTGTTGGGGGGGGGTGGTGTGAGAGGCAGGGCTTCGGGGAGCCCCCACCTCAGGGCCGGAACTGCTGGCCTTCAGGAGCCAGGAACTCCCTTAGGAGGAGAGTCCCTCCCGAGACCCAGGTGCCTGGCCAGCCGGGCTCCGGCCCACCTCCAGGGGAGCCCCGGGGCTGGGGCAGCTCAGTCCTCCTGGAGGCCTCGCGAGAGAGCTGACGGCCCATTGGGCTGACCTCTGAGCCAGGCAGCAGGAGGGGGGTCAGGCGGGTCTGGGTTTGAGAAGGTTCTACAGCTCAGGGACCTGAGTCACGAGGCCATCTGGGTTTGGAGGAGGACGGCTTTCTGGTGCCACGGAGCCAAGCGCGAGGAGGACTGGTGCCCAGGGGTGAGCTGCCCTACCGTGCTGGGCAGGGCTGGCCGGTGGCGCTCGCACCAGGCGACTATGTGGGCCTGCTTGGCCCTGCAGCTGCCTGGGCTTCTGGAACCCAGAAAACCTTCTGTTGGTCACTACATCCATGCCTTTGCCTCGGGCTGGGCTGGCCCAGGCCCCAGAGCTCTCCATGCCCCTTGAGCCAGTGGGCCCGAAGTCCCTGCTCCGCTCCAGCCTAGCACCTCCTGCTTCAGTGGGTCCAGCCCTCTGCTCTGGCCAGTTTATCTGGTCCAGTCCCTCCAGGTCAGGTCCCCCCCTGGGCCCAGCTCTGGGTGGCCCTCCCAGGCCAGGGTGTCTCTCTGAAGCCCTTATCGGGCCGTTGGTCAGACATGGAGCTGATGAATGCTTAACAGGAGAGTCTGTTGCCCCAGAGCCGCCCGCAGGGCCAGTCGGAAAGGACTTCCGGGAGTCTCCGCCCAGGCTCTGAGGCTGCTTTGGGGATACGGCAGGTGGGATGTGTGCATGTGTGTGCCCATGCTGGTCCTGCGTGGGTCTGGGCACTGTTTCCCCTGTACGGGGCACGGGTCTTTCTCCTAGTGATGTGGGTTTGAAAGAAACAGTTAACACCAGAGGGGGCAGGAGGTGCCCCGCGCAGTTCTGGGGCCACAGAAGGAGGCCTGCTGGGTGAGCGGGTACCTGGGCTTTGGGGGAAATGCATGGGTGGGGCACAATGCCAGGTGCACGTGCTTCAGGGGCCCCAGAGTGCAGCTGAGCGCATGTGCCCCCTGCAGCTTGCCCCAGCCCCACTGTGTAGGGCCTTTGTGCCTTTCCCAGGATATGGGCGCCTCCACGGCGAGACGGTGTCTGAGGTTCCGGGGCAGGAAGGGGAAAACCAAACAGAGCTGGCAGCCCCAGGCCAGCCCTGCGGCCCCAGAGACGCAGCTCGGCAGCCAGCAGCCACACGGAGACACTGGCGGGGCTCCTGGATGGGGATGCTTCCTTTGAGGCTGCCTGGGGAATGTCTGAGCTTGGAACTCATGGCACACGCTGGCTCAGGGGAGTCGGGGGCTGCTGGCACAGAACCCTGCGACGTGCCGGGATGGCACGTGTGCGCCCTGCCCGTGCTGACCCTGGCTGTCGGCACCACTTTCGGCTGGGGCACCTCGTTCAGCTGGGGCCAAGGCA